GCACACAGACGCATGCAGGCACACGCAAACACGTGTAGGCGCACACACATGTACGCACGCGCACGCACGTGTAGGCGCGCGCACCCACGCAGACAGATACGTGCAGACACACACAGATCCCTGTTGGCATACACTCACACAAGTGTAGGTGGACACACTTATATGTGTACCCGGTGTAGTATGTAAACATGAACAAGCAAGCAAAGGGGAGACAAAGGTGGCCGGGAATGGTTTGGGCACACCACCGCCTTGAGTATCATACCGGGCCTTAATAGGTGCTTGCTAACAGCGGTTGTCCAAACAGTCTGGTAGGCTACAGTGAGCTCCTTTGTGCGCGTGTGTTTATGTAAGTTTTATTTTTTTAAATCAGTTGTTGAGCACATGTCTAAAGGGCCCCGATGGCGCTATACAAATGTGTCGGTGTGTTTTTAATAGGTGCTCGCGAACAGCACTTGCGCCTGTGGCATCCGAGTCTATACAGGAGATCGTTGACCTTTGGGGTGTGTGTGGGCGGTGGTGTGGAGCGACGGTGTCGCGGCCAGTGCCCATCGCTACTCGCCCCGGCGACCCGAGTTAGATTCCACGCTCACGGCGAACACCGGTGAGGATTATCTGAACCGGCCCTGGGTCTCACCTAGGTAGACTCGGTCTCAAATGAGTACTTGGCGCGGTGTGTGAACATCGCCACAAAGGCGGCCGGGCGTTGTGCCGTGCCGACCTTCAAAGGTGCTACTTCGCTAACAGCACTTGCCCGTTAAAACAGTCTGCTAAAGGCTATACGGGCGGTCTTTGTCTTTGTATGCGTATTGTAAATAAACACGAGTGCCCTCAGGGCAATGTACCCCCACCAACCCATCTGCCCGCGGTGGAGGGGGGGGGCCCTTTTGCCGTCTTCCTGCTCCACTGAGTGGGGAGGGGGGACGGACGCTTCATTGAACATTTGGCGAAATCTGTTCCGCGGTCAGCCCCGTAGCGCCTACGGGGGAGGTCGTGGCGACTGGGCAATGTCACCCATCCCTGTCGCGTGAGTCAAGCTTCGGGATCTTTATTAAGGCCGGAGGAATCCGATGAGCCGCCAAGCTCTTTTTCTTAGCGCGATCGGCAGTGCCGGGCATCACAGGCCGCGACCCCCGTGTGATGTTGATGCCAAAATCAACGTCGGCTGGGCGGTGGTGCTGGTGCTGGTGCTGATGATGGCGGCTAAGCTACTACACGTGGCTGCCTGTAGTCTAGCATAGTGGAGGCAGCAGCAGCGAGGGTTGGTGGATCATCGAACAGATGGGAATTGAAACACTTCTCCCGTGGGCATCGAGAAAGAGCCATACTCCTGGCTCTGCTAGTAGAGGGCGGTACAGCAAAGTGAACTAATTGCCATCTGTTTGCACCTGTACGGGGATAGTGTTGTCCCCTTGCACAAGGTCTTTATTTTTCCTGTTAATGCCACGGTGTTATTGGATAATTGTGCGTGTGCACCATTGTATGGATATATGTAGAACTTCTTTCTCACCATACATAGACAACTGCGCTATTTGGTAGTAGTAGCAGCAGCATCACCAAATTATGCGTTTAATTACAAAGCATGTTGGTGCTGCTCTGCTCCTTTGGGGCAGTGGCACTGCCCCGAGGTGGAGCGTTCACCGCTTTGCATTTGCAGAGGTTAGTGGTTCGAATACGCCAGGCCGCACTGGTTATACCATCGCGGGTGTGTTAGGAGATGAATAGCAAAGTACTGCGCGCGACTTCTGCTTCGCAGTGGGCGTTTAAAGATCCCCGTGGCGTCATTCGGTAAGCGTCAGGCCATCGTGGTCTAACTTTGCCACGTAAAAAAAAAATTTGACTCCGTAAATTGCTCAGCCGGGATCACAGGTAGCAAGCGTCTCTCCCCACCGTCCTCCCACCCTACTTCATACAACTTGGCAGGACTTTCCTGAAAAAAAGTCATGAGAGTCGGCGTGGCTTTCCCTGGGTACAAAGACAAACTGTTTTTATTTTTTCCAGGGAAGGCCCACTGAGCTGTGCAGCTCTTTTTCAGGAGCAACCTGGCCACAAATGATAGCTCAACGAAGTGGCTTATCGTGTGGAAATTTATAGCAGGCAATTACTGTAAATGCATGTTTCGAGATGTGGAGGGAAGGACCGGAGGACCCAGAGGAAATCCACGATCACGGGGAGAACACGCAAACTCCAGATACACGGGCGTCAGGCACGGGATCGAACCCACAACCGTCTGTGTACTCGGCGAGCTAGTTAACATCTTGCCACCGTGGGTGAACAACAGTGACAAAAATAATAGCAAACCGCAAAATCCTACGCACTGATATTCCAGAATATTGATTCCTTGGGGGTGAAGCAAGTATTTATTCCTTGGGGCGCACGTAGTTCCAGGGGAGATCACATTTTCTCTGACACGGGCTCCCAATGCTCATCCAGACAAGACACTTGAATGTACATCTCGTCCGCTCAGCCTGCAGAAAGACTCCTACGCTACTGCACACATCGACGGACAAACAATGGCTGGGTTCGGCCTTGCTTCCTGTGCGCGTGTGCTTCCCCGCCGCTTCCCCGCTGCTTCTGGCTGCCGCGCTTCTGGCCTCCCCGCCGCACGTCCAGGAAGCGGCCGTCCAGATGCGTTTAATTTTCGCGGCTTGTACTCAGGCTGCCACTACCACCACCACCGCCGCTTCCCCCCCTCACCCCCCAAACCCTCCGCCACTCCGCAGTGTCGAGCTTTGACACAGAAAACCAGAAAACCCGAGGATCGTTACATGGCGATGTTGCTAAGGAACTCTCCCCACGTGAACTGTGACCTCTGGCCCAGTATGCCGGCTCTAGCTAGGACTGTAATAATAGTGTTCTGTACCTTATGCCGAGGGATGCTGCCGCAGTGCTGTAATGGAACAAAAAACACGTGTTTAGAGTACTGTATTTGGCTGTCATAGATTTCCACGTGATAAGCCACTCCATTAGGCTCTCATTTTGTGGCCAGGTCGCTTCTGAAAAATAGCTAAATAGCTCAGTTGGGCCTTATCTGGTAAAAAAAAATAATAAACTGTTTAATAGCGAGCTCAATGAACTTGAAAATTAAGAAGGTACCAGTTTGATTCCATCTCGTGGCCCGGCATTTAGAACAATGGTGCAGTTTTCTTAAACCCCCCCACCCTCCACCGACCATCTGTGCCTACCCAGCAGGGATCCATACTCTTTGGTTCTTTCGGTAAAGTCACGTAAGTATAAAATAAAATAAATTAAATTAAATTAATTTTTTTATAAAATAAATGTAATTTATTTAATTTCATTTAATTTTTAATGAAATAAGTGTAATTTATTGAATTTTATACCTACGTGACTTTACCGAAAGAACGAAAGAGTATAGTTTTAAGACGGTTCATCCACGGTCAGTCGATTGGCAGGTCGCGTGCGGTGGACCAAACGGTGGGATATTCCCACCTCTTCCAAGACGGCTGGCAAGCGTGGAGGAGTAGGCCAAAGAAACGCCCGTTACAGCTCCCCTCCAGTGGAGGCCTTTCTTCAGGTAGTGGCGCGAGCGAGCGCATCTTCCCGCGCAAAAATCGAGACCGCCGCGACCGTGCCTCTAGCCCCAGGGGGTCGGCAAACCAAAACAACAAGGAGAGACATTTTTTTCGACCGCAGTGTTTGAAGGGCCGAGATGCACGTGGTGAATACGGGAGCGACGGCCCTTAAATAATGTCCCGATGCGGTCCTTCAAGAGCCACCGCGTGCGGGCCTCCGGAGCCGCAAGGTTTGCCGACCCCCTGGGTCCAGCCGGTGCTTTGTACGCACGACCTCGAGTCGCTCGCTCGTCGTAACTCGGGCGCTGCTCACGGAAGCCGCGTTGCTCTTTCGATTTCGTTTTATTGTGACCGTGCCACATGTAAATTTGGTAATCGCGGCGAGCCTTATGGCACGAAGGAAGCCGCTGTGTGTATGTCACAGACGAGTGGAGTCTCTCTGAGTAGAGAGGGGGGGGGGTGACGACGACAATGTCACTCTGTGTCTCCCAGGTAAATAATATGAAGGCCATTTTAAAAATTAGGCCACGCGTTTGGGACCGCGACACCGCACCGGCACGTAGTGGTCTCCTTCGTCCTTTTTTTTTTAAACCTCACGGGATCTTTATGAATCTTTAACGGCTGGCTGCTGTGAAGTGGACGACTCCGTGTCTTCGTGGTTAATACACCACAGTATTAACCGGAGTGGTTTACTCGTGGCGCGGTTGTAAATAAACACTGCTTAGACTTATTTATCCTTTGTCCCCCTCCAGTTATTGGACATCGCAGTGGATGCAGAGCCCATCGCTTTGAGTGCATTACGACTCCATATTAATCGGGGGGGGGGGGGGGAATCCATTATTCAATGGCGGTGGATGTAATATTTATCAACCTCCGGGAGGACAAAAAATCAAAGAGACAAGGCGCCCAACCCTCCCACTCCTCATCGATGCGTCACACACGCCGTTAAAGTTTGCGTGTCGCGGTCACGCAAGTCGCCGCTAACGTTTGGAACTAAGCAGAGTATTCGGGCGATGCTGCATTGGCAGTGGTCCACAAGCACAATTTATGGTGCTATGAAGAAGGACCATTTCCCGAAACGTCGCCTGTCGTGTATATATATTTTTTTCCTTTTTGATTAGGCCAACGACAACAACCGCCTTTCGCTGACTAAGTGGCGGTAACGTCACCGCGGCGCTTGTGCCAGGCTGCGTGCCCTTCGAGCGCTGTCGCGTGAAGTGTCGAGGGCCCACTGGCGGCAGGTCACGGGACATAACCCTGCAGGTGCCGTGGGCTGTGCGAGGCCGAGGGTGTCACCAGCCCCTGGCACCGCCTTCCTGCCGACGTGAGCGCCACCGCTTGGGCGGTCGCCGCCGACCAAACGCTTGCGCGGGCGAGCGGCAAACGGGTGTCGGAGAGCGTTGCGGAATCCCGAGCGCGTGCATGATTTTTCTTCCCCCTTGCCTCGGCGCGTGCGTGACGCGTGTGCAGGATCAGTTTGAGGGCGTGGAGCGGCACACGCTGTGGGGCGTGGAGTTCCTCGAACGCTTCTCCAAGTTCGTGAAGGAGCGCGCCGAGATCGAGATCGGATACGCCAAGCAGCTACGGTACAGTCCCCGCCCCCCCCCCCCCCCCCGCCGGCTCTCGCCGAGCACCACGCACAGCCCGGCGGAGCGCTCTCTCTCCCGCGGCATTTATGCGCGCCAGCAGCACCCAGGCGCCAACACCATCATCATCATCATCCACCTTCAGGCAGCAGCTCAAGGCTTCTTGCCTGTTCAGGATCTCACCTGTCCAGGCTTCTCACCTGTCCAGGAGCTTGCCTGTTCTGGGTGACATGCGAAGGTCTCTGAGCTTCGGCTCCTGCCTCCCGAGTTCTTGATCGAACAATGCTTCCGATTCGTTAAATACGTGCGCGTCATGAATATAATTTATTATTATTCATTATATTTATTAATGTTATGAAGGGTGGCATCGATAGCGCCCTGTTGTTTCCCTGTACGGTCCCCATGGAAGTGCCGGGCGCCGGGTTTATCGATGCTCGAAGGCTTTAATCCCCACCAAGTCGAACAAACTCTCCGCGCCACTCCCACATCTCGACGAAAATGGCCAAAACACATTGCCTTGGCGACTTGCCCCCCTCCCCCTGCCCCGCCACCCCCGCTGTTGGTAATGGAAACATCTGCACATCGCCCCCCCCCCCCTCCACCATCCGCCGCCGCCCCCAATAAAAAAAAATTGGACGAAAAATGAACGTTGGTGAAGATGAGAATCCGGCCCTCTGTGTCTCTCTTCGCACAAAACAGCGCTCATTCACAACGGCGGCTGGCTGGCTGGCCGGCCGGCTCGGAGGTCACAGCGGCTGAGCTGGCACCCGCTGAGATCCTGTGTTCCGGTCCACGTTTTAGCCGAACCGCCGCGTATGTTTCTCGCGGCCGCGCTGCCGCTGCGTCGCGCACCGCCCCCCCCACCCGCCTGCCCCACCGCTGTCGTGGCGATGAGCATCGCCGTCAGTGGCAGGGCGGGTTGGGGAAAGTTGCAACCCCCCCTGACTGAGTTGGAAATGAGGTCACTGGCGGGGACCCCAGAGGCAGCTCGCAGGTGGCTTTCCTTGACTGCGAAATTCAAGTTCCTCATTCATTGTTTGACTCCATACAATGTGCCACCCCCCCCCCCCACCGTGTGTTTACAGTCACTCCATAGTGTTTACGGCACAGCAGCTGCTTTTCAGTGTTTTGCCATTCAGTGCTCGCAGTCGGCCGACGCGGTTATCGTAACATGCGTCATCTGTGCCACCGTGGCCGCCACAGTGGCTAGGAGATGTTAACTGCCTCGCCTGGTATACAGGAGGTCGTGGGTTCGATCCCGATCCTGGCCCCCTGCTGTATATTTGAAGTCTCTCTCCCCATGGTCGCGTGAGTGTTTTCTCTGGATCCTCCGGTTTTCCCCTCACATTTAGACTCAACGTCACGCGTTTAGAGTATTTGGCTGCTGCATATTTCCACGTGACAAGCCACTTCGTTGAGCTATCATTTGTGGCCAGGTCGCTTCTTAAAAAAAGAGCTAAACATAGCTCAGTGGGCCTTACCTGGTAAAATAAAAAAAAAACATTTGTTTCGTTTATAGTTTAATGGTTTAGTTTAATTAAAAATAATATTAGCCGTTTCATTTTTAAAGGGATTTACGATTAACGCTCACGTTGATCGGCGCCGTGATTACGCAGCGCGCGCGCGGGTCACGAGCGATGGAAGGTGCCGCTCGCTCAAACGCAGCTGTAACGGTAACAATAACATCGCTAAAGGTCACTGCGACTGCGCGCTAATGAGCAATGCGAAATATTCTCAGCGGCAGCCGACGCGGGGGGAAGGTCACCGTGCTCTGGTGGTGCCTTCCCGGGGAAAAAACGAAACCGCCGCACGTCGCGTCCTACGGCGTTCGTGTTTGCGGTTTCCGCGGATCGGCCTTCGGTCGCGCTCCTCGACATCGTTCCTGAGCGTGCGATGAAACGTTGTCAGCTGGTAGCGCACCACCCCGTGTCTGCGGGCAACAGCCCCCCGGGATATTGTGTCCCAGAGAAAACCCCGGTATAATCGCAGGCAGTGGCTGATACCTGGAGTTGAACTCGGGGTCTCGGCGGTGTTGGCTCAAAGTATGTAGATGCCTGAGCCACCAACCCTTTCTTCTGTGCTTCCTAAATATTATTAGTCGTTGAAGGTATTTATACATTTTATTTTTGCCTGTGACAGATGAGACTGTCTGCGTGTTATTCGAGCCAGACTCTACGGGGGGGGGGTCTCCTTTTCTAGGGGGGCGCGGTTTGCCTCCAGAGCTAAATTTGATTTAGTGGAAGAAAAAAAACTTTAAAAAAATTTCCCCGCAGCTTTATCGCGACCGTGCTACCTTTGACGAAGAATCCGTTCGCAAATCTCGCAGGGGCGGTGTGACCCCCTCCCGTGTTGTCAGAGAATCGCCAGTGGAAGCAGGTATCACAGAGCTACCTCTGAGATCCTTTCTGCGACCTTTTTAATTCTCAAGAGGTGAAATGTTGGCCATATTAATTGCAGAACTAGATTATTTATGATGGGTTTTTTTTTTCGTGTGTGCATTTGTTGAGACCATCAATTGGCCGAGACTATAAACCCACGATGCTTAAAGAACCCCAGTCGCAGGCAGTTGCTGAAAACCTGGATTCGAAACTCGGCTCTCAGTGGTGGCAGCTCAACGCTCTCTGACTTTCGCGCCACCCAGCGACTCTGGAATTAATTTATTTTAACGTAGTCATGCATTGTAACGCCCCTAGTGGCTGCTGGAGTCACGTAAATCAACTCATTTATTTTGGGACGATAATGTGTAAGGTACATTATTAATTGCTTTTTGTTGTCTTTCCCCCCGCACCTCCGGTTGGCTACGTACGATGTGAAAGAAGTTCAGCACATGTACTACAGTATAACCCTCCACTCCACCTGCCAGAGCCAGTCAAATCAAGTTGTCACGTGGGCGAATGTGCCAATTGAATTGTTTGTTGAGCTAAACCTGTGGAGGGAGCAACATTGAAAAGCCTAAGCGAAAAAAAAACATTTTTATAATTTGATACTCGCCGGAGATCACACCCAGCATCGTCAGGCGTTAACGGTGGGGCGCAACGGTGGCTAGGAGATGTTAATTACCTCGCCTAGTATACAGGAGGTTTGCGCGTCTCTCTACCCATGGTCGTGTGGATTCTTCTCCGGGCCCTCCGGTTTTTTCCCTTCACATTTCAAAACACTCGTTTTATAGTATTTGGCTGCTATAAATTTCCACATGATTCATTGAGCTATCATTTGGGGCCAGGTCACTTCTGAAAAAGAGCTACATAGCTCAGTGGTCCCTTACCTGATAAAATAAAAAAAAAACATTCTTACTCTTTGGTTCTATTCGTTAAAGTCACGTAGGTAAAAAATAAAACAACAAAAAATCACGACGTTTCGGCCACGACACAAGCGGCCTTCATCAGGTAAAGGGACCAGACTGTCTCGAGGACAGCGCTGGAGTGAACACAGCTAAGCTCAGACCGCGACCTTTAAGCTGTGTGAGAGGAATCAAGGTGCCTTGAATTAGCATAAAAATTAGCATTTAATTCGCGGACTTAGCCAAAAAAAAAATTGTTCAGGTCAGTTTTAAATAGTTTAACGCATCGTCAGCTCTTGTCGCGTTAGCGAGCCACCCGATCTGGCTCATTAACGAGGTGCCCGTGACCGTTGTCACGAGTGGATTGTGGCGCGCGTGATCCGGTGCACGCAGCGCGATGCTTAAGGTTTCGACAATGATTGAGAAATCTATGGGACCGTTACACCTCTGCCAGGTGGCTACGAGACAAGAGGCGGTTTTTGCGTTCGTGCCGTCCGATCTTCCTTCTGCGACCCGCTGACGCGATGTGTCCGCGTTGTTTCCGCTCAGGAGCCTGGTGAAGAAATATCAGCCGAAACGCAACTCGAAGGACGAGGATGAGTACAGGTGAAGGAGGAGGGCGTGCGTGAGCGAGGGAGTGGGCGAGTGAGTGAGTGCGTGAGCAAGGTAGTAAGCGAGCGAGTGGGTGAATGATTGAGTGATTGAGCAAGTGGGCGAGCGAGTGAGTGTGTGAGCAAGGTAGCAAGCGAGTGAGTGGGTTAGTGAGTGGGCGAGCAAGTGAGTGGGCTAGTGGGCAAGTGAGTGTGTGAGCAAGGTAGCAAGCGAGTGAGTGGATGAGTGAACGGGCGAGCGAATGAGTGGGCGAGCGAGTGCGTGGGCAAGTGGGTGAGTGGGCGAGCAGGTGAGTGAGTGAGCGGGCGAGCGGGCGAGCGAGTGAGGGAATGGGTGAGCGAGTGAGTGTGCGTGTCAGTGTGCGAGCGAAAAAGTGAGCAGGCGAGTGAATGAGTGAGCGAGCGAACGAGAGAGTTGGCGTGCGAGTGGGCAAGTGAGGGCGGTGATGGAACAGGACACAGGGCAAGAGGGTCACCGCGATATGGTGACGTGACAGTTCATGGTATGGCGTGAAGTAGATCAGAGATTCATATTCTTGGTTCTTTCGGTAAACGTTATACCACAGGGCTCATTGCATTTCGGACCAACACCACCTGGCCAGTGAATTAAAACACGTACATCTGGCCCTCAAGAGAAACGGATACTCTGACCGTACCATCCGCCAAGCTGTTTCTCGCTCCATACAGAAACAACCACTTGATACTCCGGTCAAAACCATCACACTACTATATATAGCAGGCGTTACTGAAAAGATCTCCAAAATTCTAAACAAACACAAGATCCTGGTCCGGTTCAATACAGTACACAAAATCCGTGACCTGATCCCATCCGTGAAGGATGTCATTCCTGACTTACAGTACCCCGGGGTTTACAAATTGAGCTGCACTTGTGGTGATTGCTATATCGGGGAGACGAAACGACATGTCTCTGACCGAATTCGCGAGCACAAATCAGATTTGAAACACGGCAGAACGAATTATTCTGCCGTAGCTGATCATTGTTACAACGCTGTGGGTGATCACGATAAAATTTTCTCCGATACCAAGGTCCTTTGCAAACCGACAGGTTATCATCAGAGATTTGTCCACGAGGCAATTCAGATTTACAAACACAGACACAATTTCAACCGAGAAGATGGTTTCAAATTAAGCAACCATTGGAAAGATGTTCTAAATCGAACCAAACATTAAACTAATTTTCAATGGTACAGTATATTTATTCTAGTAGTGGCACTCCAAACTTCCAAGGTGGTGTATTATCTTCTTATGCTAATTCCAAGCTCTGTCAGTAGTACGTTTTATGCTAATTTCCTTTGTCAAGGTGTGTACTGTTTACCCCCTCACAGCTTAAAAGGAGGCGACCAGCGCTTGGCTTTGTTCACTCCAACGCTGTCCGCTGGACAGTTTGGTCCCTTCACCTGATGAAGGCCGCTTGTGTTGTGGCCGAAACATCGTGATTGTTGTTGTTTTATTTTTTACCTACGTGACTTTACCGAATAGAACCAAAGAGTATCTTTCAGTAAAGTCACGTAGAAGGGAAATAATAAAATAATGAAAATAAACCATAATATAATAAAATTCTCACGACGTTTCGGCCACAACGCAAGCAGCCGTTATATGATGTTTTATTTTTATTCTTTTATTATTTCCCTTCTTCGTGACTTTACCGAAAGAACCTGCAGGGGCTCCCTCTAGAGCTCCGTCTAGCGGAGGCCCTTCCGCCAGCGGAGGCGAGAGTGAGCAATTGCAGGGCTGCGCCTTTGCCTACATGGATCACCCTGTGTAAGCGCATCCCTCCACCGTTAGACTCGCTTCCTGTTCACGCCTGCCCTGTAACTCTGCCATATCTCCTCCTCTTTCCTTCCTCCTGTGCTTGTCTTTCCGTCTGCTCCCCCCCCCCACTCCTTCCCCCTGCCACCCCCTCTCCCGCACCTCCCCGCCACTGCCCCCCCACGCAGGTTCTCATCGTGCCGAGCGTTCCTGGCGGTGCTTAGCGAGCTGACGGACTACGCGGGTCAGCGCGAGGTGGTGGGAGAGTGCCTATCGGGCGCCGTGGTGGTGGAGCTCTTGCGCTACACGCAGGAGCTCAAGGCCCAGCGCAAAGCCGTACGTCGCCGCGGGTGCCGCGTGCACGTCCATCCGTCTCGATCGGTCGCTCGCTACTTGCGGAGCTTCACGGCGGTTTGAATTCGGCGGCCGCCCTGATTAATGCTGATTAAACAATTTTTTTTCTTAACATGATCTTTATTTACCAGGTAAGGCCCACTGAGGTATGTAGCTATTTTTCAGAAGCTACCTGGCCACAAATGATAGCTCGACGAAGTGGCTTATCAATGTGGACATTTATAGCAGCCGAATACTCTTAAACGTGTGGTGTTTATTTTAAATGCGGAGGCAAAAATCAGAGGACCCGCGGAAAAATCCACGTGACCACGAGGAGAGAGACACCGCAGACTCCAAATATACAGCAGGCACCAGGGTTGGGATCTAACCCACGACCTCCTGCATACCGGGCGGTTATCGCTACGCGCTGTTGTGTTCTTTCATCATCGATGTCGCCGTCCACTGTTTAGTTTGACGACCTCACCGTTGGACGGTGGTATCAACGAGAACAACTTTTTTTCCTACCAAGCTTCTCGTTGTCCTTCCCCCGCACATCCGATTAGCACGGTTGGTGACGTACGGTGCGAAAAAAGTTCAACGTTCATATAGTGGACACCACTGTGGACCTGTGTCGTGGTCTCATTTGGAAAAAAATAATTCCGCCAATTAACAAAAAAAAATCCCTGCAAAAAATTACTCTTGGGATGACACAAAGCAATTACTGCTACGCTTGCTTACCCTGAAAAGCCTCACTGAGTCTCAAGACTCTTTTGCAGGAGGGTCCTGCCAAGTTTTTTGCAGCAGGGTTTGTGACGCTGCTGCTGCTGCTGAGTGTGATCCCCAATTGAGTAATTTTCAGGTACACTTTTTAGCATTGGGATGTTTCGGTCCAGCACCGGTTGACATTGCATTGGGGTTTTGTTTTTGCTGTGGCAAGAAACCGGAGAACCCAGCAGAAATCCATGCTAAACAGAGAGGGGGGGGGGGTGCGGGTGGGAGAACATAAAAACTCCAAACGAAGACAAAGATCGCCTGTACAGCCTGAACAGACTTTTGGGGCAAGTGCTGTTAGCGAGCACCTATAAAGGCCGGCACGGCACACGAGGGGGTTGGTGGCCAGCACCACGCCCAGCCGCCTTTTTCTCCCAAGTGGCAATGTTTACACACCGCACAGGGTACTCATTTGAGGCTGAGTCAACCTAGGGGTGGTACAGGACCGGTTCAGATAATCGTCACAAGTGTTGTCTGTGAGCGGGGATCGAACTCGGGCCGCCGGGTTCGTAGCGCAGCGCGCTAACCGCGACACTACCGCTCCCCCATACAAACTCCACACACACTCTCCCTCACACACTCTCCCTCACACCAACTCACTCAATTACACTCACATTCTGCAGAAGAGGGGGAGAACATGCAATCTCCACGCAGAAAGGGCGCCCGAGTCGGGAATCGAACCCAGGCCCCTTGTTGCCACGTGGCACGAGGGATGCTGCGGTGCTACCCCGCTGGAGAGTGTTCCAGGATCTGTCCGGTCTCTCACCATCGTGTTTCTCTCTGCAGCTGGTTCACGATGGCCGAAAGGCTCAGCACCATGTGGAGAGCTGCCTCAAGCAAATGGAGACGGTAACCGACGCAGTCACACTACCACCACCACCCACTCACACCATCACCACCACCCACACCACCACCACCACCCACTCACACCACCACCATTACCACCCACTCACACTGCCACCACCGCCTATCCACACCACTCACCACTCACCACCCACACTACCACCCACACCACCACCCACACCATCCACACCACCACCACCCACTCACACCACCACCACCCACTCACACCACCACCACAACCCCCCACTCACGCCACCACCACCACCATCCACCACCCACACCATCACCCCCATTCACACCACCACCACTCACTCACACCAGCACCAACCCACTCACACCACCTACTCACACCACCACGACCACCCACTCACACCAGCACCACCCACTCACACCACCCACTCACACCACCACCAACCCACTCACACCACCACCCACTCACACCACCACCACCCCCGACTCGCACCACCACCACCCCCCACCCACCCCCCTCTGACTGCCCCTCTGTTCAGTGTGGTGTGTGTGTATAGCGGTTAGCGCACTGCGCTATGAACCCGGCAATCCGGGTTCGATTCCCACTCATGGCCAACACCAGTGACGATTATCTGAGATTATCTGAACCGGTCCTGGGCCTCTCCTAGGTCTACTCAGCCTCAAATGAGTACCTGGTGTGGTGTTTAAACATCGCCACTGGGGAGACAAAGGCGGTCGGGTGTGGTGCTGGCCACCCACCTCCTCGTGTACCATTCCGGCCTTCACAGGTGCTCACTAACAGCACTTGCCCCTACAGTCTGTTGAGGCTACACGGGGGATCTTTGTCTTTTTGCATTTATGTGAGGAGCGTTGGTGCAGCAGCGGTCAGCGCGCTGCACTGCAAACCTGGCGACCAGAGTTTAGTTCACACTCGCAGCCAACACCAGTGATAATTATCCGAACTGGTCCTGGCCCTCCTCCAGGCCGAAGTAGCCTTAAAAACGAGTGCTTGCTACGGTGTGTAAAGATCACCGCTGGGGAGAAAGAGCCATCCGGGCGTGGTGCCGGCCATCCGCCCCCCTTCGTGTGCCGTGCCGGGCCTTCACAGGGTGGTTGCTGCTTCTCGCAAGCAGCACTTGCCCCCGAACAATCCTGTCGAGGCGAACACGGCGGGGACCTTTGTCCCCGCCGTGAACTCCTTTTTCTGCCCTCGCAGAGCAAGAAGAAGTTTGAGCGCGACTGCAAGGAGGCGGAGAGGTCGCTGCAGAACTTTGAGAAGCTGGACTGCGACATCAATGCCACCAAAGCCGACGTTGAGAAGGTGAACGTCGCTTGAACTGAACTGGGGTTTTTTTTTTCTTACCGAGCTATATGGAGCTCTTTTTTTTTAGAAGCAACCTGGCCACGAATGAGAGCTCAACGAAGTGGCTTGTCGTGTGGAAATTTACACCAGCCACATAATCTAAAATGCGTGATGTTGATTCTAAATGTGGAGGGGAAAAAACGGAGATCCCAGAGAAAAGTCCACGTGACCACGGGGAGAACACGCAAATTCCAAATATACAGCACGTTTCAGGGTCGGAATTGAACCCACGACCTCCTGTATACCAGGCGAGGTTGTTAACATCTAACCACCAAGGAAGCCCTTGACAAAATTCAACATCAGTCGCCTCCATATCACTCTTCTATTGCTACTACTATGACTACTGTGGTCACAACGTGAATCACAGAGACAAGATACCCATACCATTCAACCAGCAGCCACCCAAACCTTACGCACCCCCTCTCTCTCCATCATCTCTTACTCCTCTGTGCACCCTGCTCCTCTATCTGGAATCCCACACTCACTCACTCTCCTCCTCCTACTATTCATGCACCCACAACCCCTCTTTCTCCCCTTCAACTCTCACCTCAAACCTCCCTCCCCTCTCGTCCCCATCTCTTACTCCTCCCTCTCAATGTCCTTCTAATTTCCTCTTAACCCACGCGCCCTCTCCTCTTCCTCTGCCCCTCCACCTCTTCGTGTCCCTCCTGTCTCTCACCCCCTCACATCCCCCTTCTTCATCTCTCACCCTTCCACTCCATCCTCCTATTCCACGTGCCCCCTCCCCCCACTTTCCACCTTCTCTCACTCCACCTCCTCTCTCTTTGTCCTCTTTCCTCCCCATTGTCGCCGCCCCCCCCCCCCCTTGCCCCGCACCGCTTCTCGTCTCCCGCTCAGGCGAGGCAGAACTCGACGCTGAGGCGCACGATGGCAGACGAGAGCAAGAGCGAGTACGCGTCGCAGCTGCAGCGCTTCAACGCGGAGCAAAAGGAACACTACCATGGCGTCATGCCCAAAGTGTTCCAGGCAAGTCTCATACCATGCACGAAGCTACAACAACAACAACAGCGACAACAACAGCAGCAGCAGTAGCGGCAACGTCATCTACACTCGCAGCATTATCAGCGACAGCAGCAGCATCATCATCGTCGTCGTCAACAGCAGCTGCGCCACCAACAGCGTCGTCATCGTCAACAGGAGCATCATCATTGACGTCATAATCAGCAGTTGCAACAGTAGCATCATCATTGTCATCATCAACGGTTGCAACAGTAGCGTCATCATCATTGTCGTTATCATCAGTAGTTACAACAGCAGCACTTCATCAACAGTAGCATCATCAACAGTAGCATCATCAACAGTAGCATCATCAACAGGAGCATCATCAACATCAGTTACAACAACATCATCAGCAACAGTAGCATCATCAACAGCATCATCAACAGCAGTTACAACAGTAGCATCATCAACATCATCATCATCAGCAGCAGCAGTTACAACAGCAGCATCATCAACAGTTGCATCAACAACATCGTCATCATCATTATCAACAGCAGCAGCATCATCAACAACAGTAACATCAACAACAGCATCATCATCATCAACAACAGCATCATCATCATCAACAGCAGCATCATCAACAGTAGCATCAACAACAGCATCATCATCAACAATAGCATCATCATCAATAACAGCATCATCAGCAGCATCATCAAAAAGAACAACATCACCCAATGCCAACAGATTCCCTCCAAGTTGCGGCGACATCACCACGGCACTCGGTACAACTCTGAGGTCACGGGAAGCGTAGAATGCGGCTCGCAGCCATGAGGTCGGGAGGTCATGGGGCAGTTCCAGGTGGCACGGGTTATCTGACGGAGAGAGAGGGAGACTGCACAGCCTGCGCCGCTTCGCCACACATTGTAAAAAATAATAATAAACTGGAAAGTGTTGTTCAAAACGAAGTGGTGACACTGAGCGGTGGTGCAGTGGTTAGCGCTACGCTGCGCTGCGAACCCAAACGCCCCGAGTTCGATTCCCGCTCACGGCCAACACCAGCGACGATTATCTGAACCAGTCATGGGCCTCCCCTAGGTCGACTCAGCCTCAAATGAGTACCTGGTGCGGTGTGTAAACATCACCGCTGGGGAGACAAAGGCGTCTGGGCGCGGTGTTGGCCACCCACCCCCCCGTGTGCAGTGCCAGCTTTCATAGGTGCTACTCGACAATAACACTTGCGCCAACAGTCTGTTGAGGCTATATACGGGGGAATCCTTGTCTTTGTGAGTGCTCCTAGGTCGACTCGGCCTCAAATGAGTACCTGGTGCGGTGTGTAGTAAGCATCGGCACAAGGGAGACAAAAGCAGCCGGTCGGCACGCGAGTAACCGCGCGTTTTCCGCCACGCGCGTTCGCAGGGTCTGCAGACGCTGGAGGAGGGCCGCATCGTGCGGCTGGGCGACGCGGTGAAGCAGTTTGCCGAGTCGGAGCGCCGCGTGTTGCCCATCGTCGCCAAGTGCCTGGAGGGCATGACCCGGGCCGCCGACGCCATCAACCACGGCAATGTGAGGGCGAGCGCCCCGGCACCTACCGGGCCCTGACCAGGGCTAACCGGCGCTCACCGGCGCTAACCGGCGCTAACCGGGGCTAACCACGGCTAACCAGCCCCAACCATGGATAACCGGGACTAATCAGAATTAGATCAGAATCTGAGTATTTGTTTATACTGGAGGAAATACGATGAGCTATGAAGCTCTTTTGTTCACAAGATGTCCAGGGCTGGGTAACCCACAGTGGCGTTGGCCTTGCCACCGATGACGTGGAATTTTTTTTTTAATGAGAGCCCATTCAGTCAAGGAGGAGCTTCTCTGGATTACTTGAGCTGTGGCCAAACATCCCAATGTAGGACCCACAGAGCCTGGGTAATTGTTTTGACAGTGGCCGGTTCTGGCCTCCTTCCCACAAGCGCTTATGCGGTTTTACCTCTTCGCCTCTGTGCGATTACAAAATTCTACAGTGTTTTGAGATGCAAATCACATGAATAGCGCTATATACGTATATATATATAAACATTAATTATTACATGCATAGGTACATATAATCCGGTTATTATCGAGCGCATATTTAAACTGACGTGTGTGCGTGTCTGGGGAGTGGTTTGCACAGCGCTTAGCTGTGCCACAAACCCGGCGATGCAAGTTCAGTTCAAGGCCACGACTAACATCGATGACAAGTGGTATCTGAACTTTTCCTGGACCTGCCCTAGGTCAACTCAGCCTTAAATGAATACCTGCTGCGGTGTGGTAAACGTCAATACTAGGGAGACAAAGATGGGCGGGCGTGGTGCTGGCCAAAGCACCCCCTCGTGTGCCGTGCTGGCCTTCACATGCACTCGCTAACAGCACTTGCTCCAACGGTCTTCAGGCTACAGGGGGGGATCTTTGTCATCGTCATACGTCAGCCATGATCAATCCACTGCTGGACGAAGGCCTACCCAATCCATTGCCATCTCTCATGGTCCCACTTTGCAATTTAATGATAATTAATTTATATTCTTGGTTCTTTCGGTAGTCACGTAGAATGGAAACAATAAAATGCTAAAAATATAAAACAATACAATTCTCACGACGTTTCGACTGCAACACAAGCAATCATCATCAGGTGTGAAAACCACAGCAAGAAAATTTTAAAAAATAATTTTATTGTTTTATATTTTTATTATTTTATTGTTTCCCTTCTACGTGACTTTACCGAAAGAACCAAGAATATGAATCCCTGCAGTCACGAAAGCTCTAAATGATAATTAATTTATTCAGGAGAGTCACATTGAGCCGTCATCGGACTCGTTTTCAGGAGGCTCCTGCGTCGGTTAATCTTTTACTTGTGTAATGACGACTTGACGCACTTCTCTTGAGATGGCACTTTATTGACGACACGTTCACTGGACATCAGGCGGAGACCCCCACTGCAACAGACCCGAGTCTTCCGCGCATCTCCCCCTTATATACCAACACGAGGCCACGCCCCCTTCCCGAACCCTCTCGCTGATTCTGGACACTCGCTCCACCGGCAGACTCCACCGTCCTCTTCCGTCGCCTGACCACGCTCCCTTCTCGAACATTTCCGTAGCCACCGGTCCCTTCGCACTCACAACTGATACCCCTGTCATTACCTCCCATGGCCACCAGTCCCTTCAGACTCACAACTGATACCCCCGTCATTACGTCCCGTAGCCACCAGTCCCTTCGTACTCACAGCTGACTCCCCCGTCATTACCTCCCGTAGTCACCGGTCCCTTCACACTCACAACTGGTACCCCCGTGATTACCTCCCGTAGCCACTGGTCCCTTCACACTCACAACTGATACCCCTGTCATTACCTCCCGTAGCCACCAATCCCTTCGCACTCACAGCTGATACCCCCGCCATTACCTCCCGTAGCCACCAGTCCCTTCGCACTCACAACCGATACCCCCGTCATTACCTCCCGTAGCCACCGATCCCTTCGCACTCACAACCGATACTCCCGTCATTACCTCCCGTGGCCACTAGTGCATTCGCACTGTAGGCTGACTCCCCTGTCATTACCTCCCGTGGCCACTAGTCCACTCACACCCGCATGTAGGCTCTATTACGCTTGTAAAAAGTGTTTAATATTATTATTCACGCGGGAGGAAGCCGGAGCACCGGAGAACACCCACGCCTTGCGCGAGGGGGCAACACTCTACCCCGCCCCCCCCCCCCCCCCCCCCCCCCCCCCCCCGTACAGCTGGAATAAACAGATTGCGATTAGTCAACATTTTGCTGCACCACCTTCTGGCACAGCCAGGAGTACGGCTCCTCTTCGACGCCCACGGGAGGAAGGAAGGGAGTTTCAAACAACATCTGCGTGTGCGGTCGTCCACCAACCCTCACCGCCGTTGCTGCCTCCACAGCGCCGGAGTACAGGCCACGCCACGTGCAGTGTGGCCACCGTCACCGCCACCGGCTGTAAAAGTCCAGCCAGCACCTGCGACGTAACCGCCCCCCCCCCGCCCCCCCCGTCTTCATTTCCCTCTGCCGTCTCTCCCGGGGCAGGACTCTCAGCTCGTGATAGAGATGTGCAAGTCCGGCTTCGAGCGCCCGAGCGACGTCGACTTTGAGGACTTCAGCCAGTACATCGGCAAGGCCTGGCCCGAAGCGTCGGGCGGCGGAGGCGGCGGAGGCGGCGGAGGCGGCGGCGGCGGCGGCGGCGGTGGCGGCGGTGGCGGCGGTGGAGGCGGCACGCTGACGCCGGCACAGCGCTCCGACGGACGTCCCGACTTACGGGGCAGCGTCGGCCGCTCCAAGACCAAGCTGTGGCTGTTTGCCAAGAAGAGCAAGGTGAGAGGGATCGGGCAGCGGAGGATGGGCGGACGGGTGGGAGAACGAGCGTGCCCTGACCTGTGCTAGACAGGAGGGCCGAGCTGCCTTGCGCGGTTTGTACGTCTGGCTGTCTGGCTGTCTGGATGTTCTTGTCCGTGTGTACGTCTGGATGTCTTGCTGTCTTGTTGTCTGGATGTTCTTGTCTGTGTGTGTGTCTGGCTGTTTGGATGTTCTTGTCTGTGTGTCTGGCTGTCTGGATGTTCTTGCCTTTGTGTGTGTCTGGCTGGCCAACAGCCTGTCTGTTTGGCTGCCCATTTGCCTGGCGCCTAGGTAATTGATGAATTGGTTAAAAAATATTTTTCCGACGCCTGCCTGCTTCTGTCTGTTTGTATATCTGACAAACTGTCTGCCTGCCTGCCTATCTGTCTGTACATACACTATATATGCATACAGTACATATGTCTGTCTGGCTACCTGGCTGTTTGCCAGTTGTCTGTCAACTTATCTGACTGTCAGGCTGCTTGCCTGCCTGTCTGGCTGCTTGCCTGCTTGCCTGCCTGGGTGCCTGCCTGTCTGTCTGCCTGTCTGTTTTACTGGACTTGACTAGGTTTGGAGGGAAGAGATTCATACAATAAAATCTTCGCACTACCAAGTGTGTGCGCGTGTCTGCGTTCGATTTCCGCTCACGACCAACAACACCAGGGATGATTATCTGAACCGGTCATGGTCCTCCCCTAGGTCGCCTCAAATGAGTACCTGGTGTGATGTGTATACATCACCACTGGGGAGACAAAGGTGGCCGGGCGTAGTGTTGGCCACCCACCCGCTTGTGTGCCGTGCCGGCCTTCATCGGTGCTACTCGCTAACAGCACTTGCCCCATCAGTCTGTCGGAGCCTATTCGGGGAGATCTTTGTCTTTGTTAGATTCATGAACCCAGCTCAAGCCGCCTTATATACCGCATTGATATATTGTATTGATATCTGTCCGGCTCCGTGCGCAGTGATTGGTTGTCGTGGTTGTGTTCACAGCCCTGTGAGCGTTTGGGTTTGTGCGTGACACCGTTCGGCATGCGCTTCGAGATGCAATAACCCCGCCAGCGCTCGTTACAAAACGTTAACCGACGACGACGACGACGCCTGTAATTGTAATAATTTAACGGTGGGTGACGACACTATTTATTTAGTTATTTTTACGCGGGAACACCACGGCAGTTGAAAAGGCGTTCCATTCCGGCCAATGACCGCGATTCGACAGACGCCGTCGTAATTTTGGCGGTCGAATTATGGTCATGATTTTTTTTGTAAACCCAATTAAAATCCGCGCTCGTTAGCGGCGCGTTCGCGTGACACTTGGATGCGCGCGAGCAGCTGGGAGCGGCTGGGAGTGCCGGGCCCAAACCCGAACAAGGGAAGCGCTTACCCGAGTTCCGGTTACCAACCACCGCCTGCTACGACCTGGGACATGGATAGACAATTCTGGGCGGGCGTGACGTCGATGACGACTTTTGTGAGATCTTTTGAACTATATACATAATATATATAGCCTTTCCTCTTAACCGTAAATAGGGATTCCTCTTAACCGTAAATAGCCCCGGGCGGGGAAGGAGGGTGGCATTGCTGCCCTTCTAGGGGTGGACGCAGCTGGGGTTGCCACCTGTCCTGGCGTTTTCCAGGATCGTCCTCTTGTGGTGGAGGCAGCTGTGAAATCTTCGAAGTCTGACGAAGGGGGGACATTATTGTCAGATGCATCGTAGTAACGATAAGAATAATACGACCGTAGCGACGATGATCCACCACTGCAGACAATGCGTTTGCATGCAGTTCTCCTCACCACGTTTAGTGTTGTGAGACGTTAGTCTGTCCACGATATGTAACCCGTTTATTTTTGACCTTAAGAGTTTGCAATCCAAGCTGCGGCAGCTGATATCAATGAGCAGCGCAGTGGCTTTCTCCGATTGAGAAAATAGTTTAATAATTGCATCTATTTTTTTTGCTGCAAATAATATATTTTTCACTCTGATTTTGTGTCTCTCTGGTTTGAGCAATAATCATTTGATCAATATTCACTGCTCTCTCCGGCCTGGGTGAAGGCAATGTGACTTTACACGAAGGTTCGATATGTATTGGATCAACTTTGCAAGAGTTACCTTGACCCCATGTTACAGACGGACAGCAGCGCTAATGCAACAGAGTAAGTCCCTAGTGGCAACGCAATTTTGCAATTAATGTTCATTGATGTTGGATCAACGTTACAGCAGTTATTCGAACCCTTCCCCCACAATCCCCCCGTGTTTCAGACAGATGGACAACGCTTAATGCAAAAGTATTTTCTTTAGCGACACTTGGCAAGTGTCGCTAAAGAATTTGATTTTGGGATGGAATCGCGATCCTGAACCATGACCATCCATGGAGTAGTGAGTGGTGTGTGGGAGGGGGGCACTAACCACTACACCCCGCCCCCGCCGCCACCCCCCTCCATGAAGGTATAACGGTAGTAGGCCTGATTGTATCTTATTTATAAAGCCTTACCTTGACAGCTGCCTGAATTAATGACCTCTGGGACCAGTTGGGTTAAGTGTATTTTTATACGACAGGAAGCTTAGGGGGGATGGCCTTGGTTCAAAGGTTTTCGTCGAGGTCGGACCAAGGGTGGAGGTCATGTCGCTCAGTGGCCCTGAGCCAGTGGCGGAAATTCCACATTCCTCTACCGGGGACCGTTCACGCCATGCGACATGAACGACCGTTGGCTTTCCACAAAGTGGTTCTCGGTTTTATTGGGTTGATGATGATGATAATAATGAGCATAGGTTAATCAGGGTTGAGGTCATGAGGTAACCATCGCCGATGCTGCTGCTGGTGACATACCACAGATATTTTACGACAGCGAATTCAATTACAACCAATTAATTGAAAAAACTGTATGTTATTTACCAAAGAAAGCCTCACAAACAAAGTCTCAAGACTTGTTTTTTTTCAGGAGGGTCCTGGCCGTGAATTCCCCTTAGTGCAGTGACAAGAAGGGAACCGCAGATCCCGGAGAAAACCCAGGAACCATGCGTGCCCGAAAAAGAAGCTCTGGATGATACTGAACAGGAATGAACTGTGTACACGCGGCGTTTGTGCCGTTATTATCGCGCGGGGCTGTCGTCACGAAGGAAGGCCTTGCCGTGCTTCACAGATGGGTATAGTCTGCCAGCAGTGCGGGGGGGGGGAGATGAGGGGGAGGGGCGGAGACGGGGGAGCCCAGGTGGGAGTTTATCTCGGTGCAAAAACAACAGCTCCTTCGTACGAATAGGTGCCGTGGTGGCGAGGTGTTGTCTCCCTCGCCTGGTTTGCAGGAATGCGTGGGTTCGCTCCAGACCCTGACACGCCTGTTGTATATTCGGAGTTTGGCATGTTCTCGCCATGGTCGTGTGGATTTTTCTCCGGGTCCTCCGGTTTTTCCCCCTCCACATTTAGAATCAACGTCACGCGTTTAAAGTATTCGGCTGCTGCTATACATTTCCACGTGATAAGCCACTTCTTTGAGCTGTCAACTGTGGCCAGGTCGTTTAAAAAAAAGAGCTATGAAGCTCAGTGGTCCTTACCTGGTGAAATAAAAAATAATTTAATTTTAAATTGTGCGCAATTAACAAAAAACTTATACAGTTACGCTTGTTGTTATTTAAACACAAGCACCCGTGTGAATCTTCCAGAGCCTTGCGGACTTTCGGCGGCGCGGTTATCCATCGGAATTTGGAAGCGCGTGCGCGCTCTCGTACGTTTCAGTGCGGGTGTAATGAGACAAAGATTCCCCGGGATAGCCTTCACAGACTGCTGGGACAAGAGCTTAGCAGGGTGTTGAGTAGACTGACACGGAAGGATCACAGCGTGTGGGCTCGGTGCTGCACCAACAGCCCACGGCACGAGGCTGCGGCTACCGGCTGCTGTAGCGGAGGTTCCTGGTCTATTTTAATATAAACATTGGCGTCACACGGAGCTCCCGTCCGCTGTGTGCGTGTGTGTACGTTGAACCGTACGTAGCCAACCTTGCTCATCGGAGGTGCGGGGGGAAAGACAACAAACTAAAAGCTAAAAGCAGTTCTGAAGAAATGATTTTTCAATCTAGATTTAAAAGTGCCTAGCTCCCAGTGGGCTTCCTAATATGGGAAGGAAGCGCGTTCCAGATGGCTGGCCAAAATCCGCCGCCGTTGTGAGGATGACTGGAGTTCGTGGTGACAGTCGGAAGTTACCGCTTCGCTTTGAGATTAACGAGCCTGCAAAGACGTGCGCCGGCTACGTGGAGGGGGGGTATGGACAGACAGACAGACAGACGGAGGACACTTCGCTTAGACGGCTTCGTGTCCCGACTAACTGCCGCTATCATTAACAAGAGCTCTCTGACGAGGAGACGCGTTTTGGGTGTGTGTGGCGTCAAACACGAATGCAGGACGCCCGTGTGGTGGTTGTTGAGGTGAAGTAATACCGGAGACGCTGCTAAGCCGTGTGTCGCTTTGCCGGACACAAAAAACCAACCCCGCGTCCCGAACGCGAGACATCACTCACCCCCCGCTGCCGCCAAGTCCACGCTTCATTCGCCCTGACCTAATAACCCGTGACCCCTGACCTCACCCGTGACCCCTGCCCTCTCACCCCAACGCTCTGTTCTGCTTCCTCTAACCACGCGCTCCTTCCTCCTAACCCCGTGTGTGCTTTTGCTGCTTCTCATTTATATTGAAAGTCACTTTCATTGCATTGGCTTCCTTTTAAATTAAATTTCCTTCTTGGTGGTGGTGGCTCATGTGGTACTATATTTATATTTTGTAATCATTACCATGGCTGCTTTTGTATATATTTTTTTAACCCTGGTGGTGTTTGGGTCTCTCCCTCTCTCTCCCTCGTCTCTGTCTCTTGTGGTGATGGTGGCACTCCACATCCATCCCCTACTCTCCCTGCTGCACCCCTCCCTCTCGCCATCCCTCACTGCCCTCCCTCCCTCCCTCCCACATCTATTCCCTGCTCTCCCTTCCTCTCTCCCTCCACCCCTCTCAATCCCTCTCGCGATCCCTCCCTCCTGCCCTCCCTCCACATCCATTACCCTACCCTCCCTTCCTCTGACCACATCTATTCCCTCCCCTCCCCTCCCTCCCTCCCTCATCAATAGTTGGCATCCCTCCTCCCCACCCCTGGTGCCCCTCCTCCTCCGCCCCCTCCTGCCCATTCCGACGGCCACCCCGACCTGGAGGCGGACCTTCCCCCCCCCTCGCCCTCTCCCCCCGGCTCCCCGACCTCTTGCCTATCGGGAGGAGGGGGGGACTCGCCCCCCAGCTACCCCCGGGAGCCCTTGTTCAGCGTGGGGGGCCCCCGCTCTCCCCGAATCTCCTCCCCCCGCACGCCGGGCGGTGGGGGTGGTGGGGCCGCCACCCTTTCAGGCCGAATCTCGGGCTTCCTGTCGGGCCGGCTGGGGTCGCGACCCCTCGCCAAACCCTCCAGCCAGGCCGCGGTGAGCAACACCATCACAGCAACGGCCACCACAGCAACAGCAACCACCATAACCACCATTGTCGTCATCATTCAACAACAAAAAAAACCAACGTCTCATAGTTGGCTCTTCATTGGTCATGATTGTTATCACAATGATAATCACCACCATTATCATCATCACCATCACAATGGTTATCATCGCCATCATCACCGCACCTCCGATTAGCATGGTTGTCAACGTACGGTGCTAAAGAAGTTCAACATACCTACAATGATAATCACCGAAACCACCGTGATCATAATCAGGAGTAGAAACACGACACAAACTCTCTCCTGAAGCTGTCTCGTCGTGGCCAGCAAATCTTGACTTTGGCATTCACTTCCTAAACACATTGCTGCTGCCGTACGCAAGAATGTAATACAATTATCATCTTCACCGCCACCGCGATCATCATCATCATAATTGCCATGACCCAACACCACCACCAACACCGCGACCAACACCATCACTTTCATCATCAACACCACCCCTATCATCGCCACCGTGATCACCACCACCACCATCACAATACCCAAGAAGGGAGACACTCAGCACTGCCATCTCCTGGCCACTCGTAGCCGTACTCCTACAACGCATGGCAAGCCGTGCAGGCGGTCACCCGTCCGAGTAGTCACCAGGCTCAAATTGCCTTAGCTTTTGAAATATAACGAGATCGGGCGCATTTTGGCTAGGACATGTTAACTACCTCGCCTGGTATACAGGAGGTCGTGGGTTCGATCCCGACTCTGACGCCTGCTGTATATTTGGAGTTTGCGCCCCTCTCTCTCATCATCATGGTGGCTAGGAGATGTTAACTACCTCGCCTGGTATACAGGAGGTCGTGGGCTCGATCCCGACCCTGTCGCCTGCAATATATATTTGGAGTTTGCATGTTCTCCCCGTGGTGGAATGGATTTTTCTCCGGGTTCTCCGGTTTTTCCCTCCACATTTATAATCAACAACTCTATGCGTTTAGAGTAATTGGCCGCTATAAATTTCCACGCAATAAGCCACTTCGTTGAGCTATCATTTGTGGCCGGGTCGCTTCTGAAAAAACACCACATAGCTCAATGGGGCCTTACCTGGCACGAGTGGTCGGTGATGGCCCAGTTTGCTAGTCCAAGCCTAACCCCCAACTCCCACTGCCTGTGCGACGCGACCACCCCCGTCACTCCCAACCCACCGCTCACACTCCCATCAATCTCCCTTGTGTCCGGCAAGGCACAAGCAGGTTAGCAGCTGTGTAGGGGACTCTCATCCGATTGCTTGGGTGATCGGTCACTCTACGGTTTGTCGGTTCAGTTACAGCACTCGATGAATCGGGAAACACGAATATAGGTTGGAAAGCAAAATGAGTCTCAACCTCTGTTCCCCCACGCGGGGTGCCGCTGGACGGGAGGTGATGGGCAGGGGCTTGGCGACATCGTCGACATCATCAGCCGTGTCGCGCTGGCCGTGGCTTGCAAGGGGGTTTTCCCGCCTTCGTTATCCAGTTTATGAAGTTGTGTTGATAAATGATGACTTCGTTACCTCCGAGAGAGGACAGCGCTGTCAGCGGGCAGACGGCAGCGTCGAGAGGCGCCGTACAGAGTGAGATGGTTTCTGTGTCACTGACGGTTAGTGTCGTCTCGTCTCGTCCTGTGTCGCGCTGTGTTTGTGTCTCCCGATCGCTGATCTTTCCTGTCCGGCCTTCGCTGTGCGACACTGTCAGCCAGTTGTGTGCTCACCCATTCAACAGCAACGGCGACAACAACTTAAATGTATATCGCGTCCCAAGTACAATCGCTGCTCTAGGCTCTTTTTTTTACAAAAATGAAAAAAACGCTGCCATAGATTATAAGAGTGGAGTGTGGAGGCGAGGGGTCAGAGCAGGGCAACATGGGAGAGTGAGAGAGAGCGAGAGTGAGAGAGCGGGAGCGGGACCAAGAGAGAGAGAGAGAGTGTGAGAGGGAGAGCGGCACAGTGGCACAGCCAGCACGAATCAGCCAGGGACCGCAAAGGTTGCCAGGAACAGCCAGGAACAGCCAATGCAGCCAGAGGAGCCAGGGGCAGGCATCAACAGCCAGGGCAGCCAGGGCAGCCAGGACAGCCAGGAACAGCCAGGGCAGCCAGAGGAGCCAGGGGCAGCCATCAACAGCCAGGGCAGCCAGAAACAGCCAGGGCAGCCAGGAACAACCAGGGCAGCCAGGAACAACCAAAGCAGCCAGGAACAACCAGGGCAGCCAGGAACAACCAGGGCAGCCAGGAACAACCAAAGCAGCCAGGAACAACCAGGGCAGCCCAGGACAGCCAGGGCAGCCAGGAACAACCAAAGCAGCCAGGAACAGCCAGGGCAGCCAGGAACAACCAGGGCAGCCAGGAACAACCAGGGCAGCCAGGACAGCCAGGGCAGCCAGGAACAACCAGGGCAGCCAGGACAGCCAGGGCAGCCAGGAACAACCAAAGCAGCCAGGAACATCCAAAGCAGCCAGGAACAACCAGGGCAGCCAGGAACAACCAGGGCAGCCAGGAACAACCAAAGCAGCCAGGAACATCCAAAGCAGCCAGGAACAACCAGGGCAGCCAGGAACAACCAAAGCAGCCAGGAACATCCAAAGCAGCCAGGAACAACCAGGGCAGCCAGGAACAACCAGGGCAGCCAGGACAGCCAGGGCAGACAGGAACAACCAAAGCAGCCAGGAACAACCAGGGCAGCCAGGGATAACTCGGATAGCTAGGGGGTAGTTAGGGCAGCCAGGACAGCATTAACTGATATAGTTGTGAGCAACACGTTACTCAAGGGTACGTTTTAGGGCAGGCGCCATCGCACTTGCGATTTGCATATTCTATTACATGACCTGCGGACCATTTATTGCAGAGAGGCCGTCCTTGCCAATTAAACATCGGGCAGTTCGTCTGCATTGGTCCGAGCAAAGCCCCCCGCCACGCTGACGAGACGCTGGATGTCAAAACCGGTCCACAAATGCGATCCAAAAGCCGCTGATGAAATACACTCTCGAAAAAATGTCCGTGCGGCCGATGGGTTTTGTGTGTAAAGTATATATTTAAATGTTTACTAGCGCGTGGCCTATAGCACATGTTATAAAGGGGCCCTAAATAAAATAAAAACACTTAAATATTAAAACACATACATTTTCTACTTGCATAGTAAAGTTATTGTATTTTTCATTTGCTATACAGCCAGATAAGACGACAAATCGCTAACCTTAAACACCCAGTCGTTAATAAAAGTTGAAGGCGGTATAGTTCTATGGTAATAGACAGAATCACTGAACTGGAATGAATAGCTTGAAAGTATTTAGCGTGGGGCCCTTGAAAGTGCAGGGCCTGTATAATTATGCCACTTTTGCTACTAGGATAATCCGGCACTGTATTATTATGTGGAGAAACAAAAGATTGGTAAGGAGAAGGGAGGGTCGATGGTAATGAACATCCAATGATGTTACACAAACGCTGGGGGTTTTATTTTTTATAGAAGAATATGCGGTGTCGGGAGTCCGGCTTTGTTGACCTGTCTCCTCGCCTTCCTGTCCCGTCTTCTACGCCCCTGAAAGCTCCTTTGCTGTCCCTGTCTTTCTTGTCTGTCCCTGGCTCTCTGGCAATCAGAAGAAGCTCAGTGTGAAGGGGGTAAGGTATCATCCGTACGTCCGTGCATGTTTATCCGTTTCTTGCCACCCCAACTCTCCCCCCCCCCCCGCTCATCCACCCCACCTCACCAGCCCCTCCGTTATAACCAGGGCTTCATTTCAGCCAAGTCCGTCCCGATCGGATGTGAATATCGTTCCCATCTCCACGGCGCGTGTCCTTGATTTAAAAGATCGTCAGAGTCAAAAGTGTTTTTTCTGCAAGTCCCTGAGCCGTTGGTGGAAATTCCACAGTCACATGGCGGTGGGTAGGCGGTGGGGGGGGAGTCTCTCCATAGGATGTAACCCACTCTTGACTTACCCTACAAAGTGGTACCAATTTTAGCGACCACCCGCCCCGGATGAAGGGATGATGGGTTGAGTCAAAGACAAAAGATTTGAATTTCACGGCCATTCCGATTGTGAGACACTCGCTCGCCCCTACCACTGAGCCACAAGGCCGACCTGAGTTGCCTCATTTAATTAGCGAATCGCAACCCTTCCGTGCTTGCTTTCAGTGATTGTTTTACGTGTGTGTGTGTCCATCTGCGATTGGCAATTATTGTGGGGAGCGGTAGTATAGCGGTTAGTGTGTTGCGTTACGAACCTGGCGACCCGGGTTCCATTCCTACTCATGGCAAACACCAGAGACGATTATCTGAATCGTTATTGGGCCTCCCCTAGGTCGACTTGGCCTCAAATGAGACAAAGGCGACCGGGCGTGGTGTTGGCCACCCACCCCCTCGTGTGCCGTGCCGGCCTTCATAGGTGCTCGCTAACAGCACTTGCCCCTGCAGTCTGTTAAGGCTATGTGGGGGATATTTGATTGGCAGTGATAAGATTTAGATGTCGCCTTGTCAGCTACGTCTTCTTTTTCGTCTCATTTTGCCAGTTGTGGGGGGTGGGGGGGGGATTTATTAAATTGAAATGAAATTATTTGGATTCATGGCGATCTGCTAGTTTTCAAAGCAAACATCGGTCGAACGGTCTAGGCTGTGACAGAGGCCTTACTGATTGTGTGCGGATCCATGGTGACGGCAAGGGATCGTTTATGCAGCACATTGGGTCGTGATTTTCCGGCAGTTTTTTGTTCCGCTGCTTCATGAAAAAGCAAACTAATTTGTAAACGTGCTTGTGCTTTTTGGTCCGTGTGCGCGCACGCACGTACACTCACGCCTGCGTGATCATTCACACTGACGCTCTGCACACGTGGAATCACACGTGCACGAGTACTCAACGCACTCGCGCACGTGTGTGACTTGTGTACATTCACGCACGCGCACACGCGGTTGCACAATTTGACGAACATTCACACACGTGCGCAAATAACACGCATGCACTCACGTACACAATCGAGCATTACATCGCTGTCATTCATTCTCACTCGCACGTTCCCATTCGCACGCAATCGCTCTCACTCAATCATCCCCTCACGCACTCTAATCACCGTCACTCACTCACTCTCAATCACACACTCCATCACTGTCACACTCTCCCTCACTCACACTCACGCACTCCATCACTCACACACTCCATCACTCTCAATCCATCACTCACACACTCAATCACTCTCACGCTCACTCACGCAACATCACTCTCACTCACTCACACACCATCACACTCGCTCACGCACTCCATCACCCTCACGTACACACTCACGCACTCCATCACTCACGCACTCACGCACTCCATCACTCACGCACTCCATCACACTCACACACTTTAACGCACTCAAATCACTCACTCACTCACTCACACACTCCCATCACTCACAATCACTCACACACTCCCATCACTCACAATCACTCGCACACTCATGCACTCCGTCACGCTCACGCTCGGTTCACGCACTCCACCGCTCGCGCTCCCAGCCCGTGCCGTGCGAGGACCAGAGCCACCTTCCCCCCGAGCAGCGGCGCAAGAAGCTGCAGAGCAAAATCGACGACTACAACCGCGACATTCAGAAGGAGGTGGAGCAGAAGTACGCGCCGCCCTCGCCACCGTGCTCTATCCACTGCTGCGTGAACGCCTCGAGCGAGCCGTCACCCGGTCTCGCGGTCCGCCGATGCAGCAGTGCGTCCATCCAATTTGGCATCATCATCATCATCATCACGATTGGCCTTGGTTTATCCACTGCTACATGAAGGCCTCCCCAGGCAGTTTGCATCTCTTGCGGACTTGCAATGTGACGGGCCTCGTGCGCCGTGCCCGGCCTTCGTAGGTTTCAGACCGTTTAAGTCGCTACGGGGCGTTCTTCTTTGTGTTGTGCGCACACGTGCGTTAATGTGTTGCCTGCGTCTGTCCTTACGCGTGCACGCGTGTGTACGTGTGTGCGCGTGTGTGTGTGTGTGTGTGGGTAGCGGTAGTGCAGCGGTTAGCGCGCTGCGCTACGAACCCGGCGACCCGAGTTAGATTCCCGCTCACGGCCAACATTAGTGACGATTATCTGAACTGGTCATGGGCCTCCCCTAGGTCGACTCAGCCTCAAATGAATACCTGGTGCGGTGTGTAAACATAACTACTGGGGAGACAAAGGTGGCCGGGCGTGGTTGCTGGCCACCCATCACCCTCGTGTGCCGTGCCGGCCTTCATAGGTGCTCGCTAACAGCACTTTCCCCAACAGTCTGTTCAGGCTATACGGGGAGCTTTGTCTTTGTTGGGGCCGTGTGTGGTGCTGGCCACACCACCGCACTCGTACACCAGGGGGGCGGGGTTGGTGGTGGGCATCTTTGTCTATTGTGTGTCATTAGGTGAGGCTGTACGGGGGGGCCCTCTGCCTTTGTGTGTGCAGGGAAGCGCTGCACAAGATGAAGGACGTGTACGCGCGGAACCCACAGATGGGAGACCCCTCCAGCCTGGAGCCCAAGCTCAGCGAGATCGGCCATCGCATCGACCGCCTGCGCCAAGGCCTGCAGAAGCACGAGGTGTGACCCCCACCCCCCCCCCCCCCCCTTCTGACTCTCCCAGCTCTGGCCCTTGACCCCCGTCTATTTAAAACATTTTTTTAAATTATTTTCTTGCGTTTTTTCACACTTTGAAAGAGGTCAACCCGTTAGCTCTGACCGTGTGTCCGCCCGTCCGTAACGGGAGTCGGGTCACGCGAACGCTCGGGACTCTATCACGGGACTCTATCATTCGCATTTGCTCTGCAACACGGGTGGGGGGGGGGGGGAGCCACGACAGCTGCCATAACGTTAATCAGACACGAATTTAAACTTTGGCGTGCAGTTGCGCTGCCGTTCGGGAATCGCCGTCGATAAAAATCGGCAATATTAAATCCGCTCTCTCCCTGCCACCGCCGTTATCCTCGCCCGCTCCCCCCGCCCCCCGTTGTCTCGCCGCGGCCTCCGGACGCGACGAGAGCGCGCCTCCGCTAGTGCCGTCGAACTTGAACTCTTCCGGACGGCGACGCGGAATCCGTGCGGGCGCCGTGGTGTTTTTTTATCGCCACCACCCCTGCCAAAATCGCGCTCCGCGAATGTTTCATTTCATCGTTTCGTTTTAATCCGGTCGTCGAACCCAACATCGCTCCGACCCCCTCCCCCGGCTCTTACGATCGCTCGTCCACTTGGGACTTGTGCTGTCCCTTCCGTCTAAGTCGTGGCTGTATAACAAAAAAAAGATCCCCAAGTTTAGCCTTAACGGACTCTAGGAGCAAGTGCTGTACGCGAGTAGCGCCTACGAAGGTCGGCACGGCACGCGGCGAAAGTGGGGTGCGTTTGGCCAGCACCACCCCCGGCCGCCCTTGTCTCCTCTCCCTCGTGGCGATGTTTACACACAGCACCAGGTACTTATTTGAGGCTGAGTAGACCTAGGGAAGCCCCAGGACCGGCTCAGATAATCGTCGCTGGTGGTGGTGGACGTGAGCGGGGAATCGAACCTGGGTAAGCAGGGTTCGTGGCGCAGCTCGCTAACCGCGACACCACCACTCCCCACCGTGACCGCACGCGCACACGCAAATACTCACGCACGCAAATACTCACGCACGCACGCACGCAAACACTCACGCACGCACGCGCATTGATCCTCTACTCAGCAGTGGTACAGCCCGGTACGGCTTTCTCAATCAGCCCCCTGGGCTCCGGGTTTGATTTTCCTGGCTTCTGCTCTCTCTGTATCTCCCCACCATGCCCACCCTCCCCCTCCCTCCCCATTGGTATCGTGAGTTGAGCGGTTGGCAATTTTTTTTTTAATATATCCGAGGCCGTTCTGAATGTTTCATTCGGCCGGGTGTCTGTGGAGGGGAGCTGATGATGATGATGATAGTCGAATCCCAACCAGGTACTCTCACCAAATTCACTTGGCAGCCACTGAGCCAGTGGTGGTAATTCCACATTACCATGGCGGAGGGCCCAGTCTGTCGACGAGGTGACCAATGATGGACGTGTGTTCTCTAATTCACGTGTTCCTCTTCTCTCTCTCTCTCTCAGTGTAATTCCAATGCTTCTTTGCATTTGCTCCGTCGTCTTCATTACTGTCCAGGTTCCTGATCTGTACGTCATCACAGCTGGTAGTACGCACGATTTAAAAGGGACACTTTTGTCTGGGCACGTTGGCTAAGTTGTTGTTGTTCTTCTTCTTTTCCATTACCAATTTCCGTTGTCTTTACGGGGCCAAAAGCCAACCCAACACTAGGGTGTGTAATAGAGACAGCGGTGCCCTCAGTGGCTATCGGTGCTGTGCCGTTCCCTCTCGCTCGCTCGCTGTTTTAGTCTGCCATCTGGGGTGAGTTAGTGCGCTAGTGCGCCGTAGTGTCAGATTTTGTTGAATTTGCGTGTGCGCGCGTGTCTGTGTGTACTGGCCGTGTGTGTGTACATGTGTGATGTGGATGCGCGTTTGCACTGGATGTGTGTGCGTGTGCGTGTTGTAGCTGTGCGTGTGTGTACTGGCTGTGTGTGCATCCATGTTCTAGCTATGTGTCTGTGTGCTGGCTGTGTGTGTGTAGTGGATATCTGTGCGCACATTATTTGTGTGTACTGGTTGTGTGTGCGCACATAGTCTAGCTACGTGTGTGTGTGTTGGCTGTGTGCGTGCACTGGTTGTGTGTGCGCACATAGTCTAGCGACATGTGTGTGTGTGCTGGCTGTGCGTGTGTGTGGTGTGTGAGCATGCAACCCACGCCTGCAAGGTTGCTATGCAGCCCTGGCCGTGTGACAACGGCTTTCTCTCTCTCCGCTTCGCTGGGTAATAAATCAGTTCCTGTGCTTTGCAACGAAATGAGAACGGGAAAAATGTTACAGTTGCCCAGCTAGAACCGTCACTGGTGAGGCCCAGTGTCCGTGGCGAGCTATCACTCGTTGCAGTAGTGCAGTGGTTAGCGTGCTATCTTACAAACCCGGCGACCCGAGTTCAATTCCCGGCCAGGCCCACGGTCTGTGGCTAACTATTGCGTATGCGGTAGTGCAGCGGTTAGCGCGTTACACTACGAACCCGGCGACCCCAAGTTCAATTCCCAGCCGGGCCCAGTGTCCGTGGTAAGCTATCACTCGTGCAGTAGTGCAGCGGTTAGCGTGCTATCCTACGAACCCGACGACTCGAGTTAAATTCCCAGCCAGGCTCACTGTCTGTGGCTCGCTATCGCTTATGCGGTAGTACAGTGGTTATTCATAATAAATGTTTTTGGGTTAGATCGCGTTATTTATAAATATGTCACAACCCTCCACGTGTTAAACTGTACAGCGGTTAGTGCGTTGCACTACAAACCCGGCGACCAGAGTTCAATTCCTAGCCAGGCTCACTGTCTGTGGCTCGCTTTCACTTATGCGGTAGTGCAGTGGTTAGCGAGTTAATCCGCCATGGGGAGATGGAGCGACGAAACGAGGTCACGGTGCGGGTTGGCGAGATGAATCATTTGCACATCGAGAACTTGGCAGACGTGATTGTGTGCGAGTGGGTGGGTGAGTGAGTGAGCATGGGTAGGTGGAGTGCAGTTCACGGGAAGGTAGCCATGGTGGTGGTAGTAGCGATAGCGAAGAGCTAAGAGATCTGTGAAAAAGAGCTTCATAGCTCATCGGATTCCTCCAGCATGAATAAAGATTCTGATTCTGAAAAATAATATTCTGAACCAACCTGCCTGACTACGACGATGACGATGATGATCACGATGACGACGATGATGATTACAACAATGATGACGATGATGATTACGACGACGACGATGACGACGACGACGATGACGACGATGACGACGATGATGACGACGATGGTGACGACAATGACCACGATGATGATGACGACGACGATGATCGCGATGACCTTGACAAACCCCGAATGCCCCCCCCCTTCCTCACCCCTGTGCCCCCCCCCCCCCCAGACGTGGCTGGCGGAGGCCGAGGGCCGTGCGGTGGGCAAGGCCGACACGCCGCGTCGCCACAGCAGCGTGCTGTTTGAGCAGGCGGGGTCGCCCAGGTCGGGATCGGCCAACGGGCCCAGCGCTCGCGAGAGGTAACTAAACTAAAACAATTAAACAGTTTTTTTTTTATTTGACCAGGTAAGGCCCACTGAGCTGCAACGTAGCTCTTTTTCAGAAGAGACCCGGCTATCACAAATGACAGCTCAACGAAGTGGCTCGTCACGTGGAAATGTATAGCAGCCAAACACACTGAACGCAGACTGATGATAAATGTGGAGGGAAAATCCGGAGTACCCAGAGATAAATCCACACGACCTCCTGCATATCAGGCGAGGGGGATAACATCTCACCACCCATGGCGCTCATACCCAAAGAAAAATATCCCCCGTGTAGTCTTAATTAACTATTAGGGCGAGCGCTGTTAGTGGCGAGCAGCTGCGAAGGGCGGCGCGGTGCACGAGGTGGTGGTGGTGGTGGCCGACACCGCACCAGGTACTCACTTGAGGCTGAGTCGACCTAGGGGAGGCCCAGGATCGCTTTACATATTTGCCACTGACGTTGGCCGTGAGCGGGGAGCGAGCTCTGGTCGGCGGGTTCATGGCGCAGCGCGCTAACCGCTGCGCTACCGCTCCCCACGCACGCACGCACGCACGTTACGTGAGCGTGTACAAAGCCAAAGATCGCCCTTACAGCCTTCGCAGGCTTTTGGGGCAAGCGCTGTTGGCGAGTAGCAGCTTGAAAACGGGCAACGCTACACGAGGGGGGTGGTTGGCCAGCACCACGCCTTCTTTGTCTCCCCGTGTTCACACACCGGCACGCGCATCTGCTTTCATAAACCGCCTGCGGTCCATGCGGGCGGTTTCAAATCCCGCAAACCCCCTGGCGGGTCGAGGAGCATCTGCACGGCAGAAGCGACGCGCGAAGATATTTCACCAACGCGTTCCCCCGATTGACCGCGACCGCCGCTCCCGCGCGTACACTCCCCCTATAGATGCCGCGTGCCCGTGCCGTTACACCCGTACCCCTCCTACCCCCCTCGAGCAGTCCCGACGGGAGCTACACGGAGGACCACAGCCACAGCGGCGGGCACACGGACTTCGACGACGAGTTCGACGACGACGCGCCGGCTATCGGGCGCTGCCGGGCTCTCTACACCTTCGACTGTGAGTCCCCCCCCCCCCCCCCCCACTCTCACCCCTACCCCGCCCACCCTTTCACCACCATCGCTCCACACTCACCCCCCCACCCCCCTCTCACTTCTGTCTCTCTCTCCACGCTCACCTCCCTCTCGCCCCCGTCTCTCTCCACCGCGGCCCCCCCCTCCATTGGCTGCCCCCCCCCCCCCCCCGCCGGCCGTCACCCCCCCCCCGCCGCGGCGCAGCGGAGAACGACGGCACCGTGCCGCTGCACGAGGGCGACTCGCTCGACGTGCTGGAGGAGGACCGCGGGGACGGCTGGACGCGCGTCCGGCACGGCGAGCGCGAGGGCTACGCCCCCACCTCCTACCTCGAGATGCTGCCGCCCGACCCCGGCACCTCGGGCCACGCTTCACCCGAATCCGCCGGGCAGGGCGCCATGACCTACATTTGAGCGGCGACGACCGCCACCGCCACCGCCACCGCCACCGCCACCGCGGGCCCGGCGCTTTGCTGGCCGGGAGCGGGGGCGGCGAAGGTGACGCGGAACGGACGGATTCGGGAGGTCTCATCGCGGTTCGCGTCCGCGCCGTGAGGTTTTGGCCGAGCCTCCCGTCACCTCGGGCCCCCGACGGGCCGGGAAGGTGCCGAGTCCCCGTGGTTACGAATCGCCGGGGGAGGTGGGGTGGGGTGGGGGGTCTCGCCGCTTGCCGAAAGGGTCGCCGGGGTCAGGATGGGAACGCCTGTTCCTCCGCCGCCCCATTGGCGAAGCCGCACACACACACACACACTGCACAGAGAGACTCGCTGGTCGGCTGCAGAACGGCCGGGGCTGTGTGTGGCGGACCGTGCCAGGTTAAAAAAGAGTGACTTGTAACGTGGTTCCTAAACGGTTTAATTGTTATTCTCTTCAACTGGCAAGGGACAGCTGATATACATAGCGCTTATCGTACGTCCCACAAATAGATGCAGCGCCCGTATGTACCGAGTACCAATATATAACGACGCCGATGACGATTGTGACGACGTTAATTCTCAACCGCCGTAGGAAACACATATCACCAGGACCCGTGTCTGGAAGTCCGGTTCGTCGATTCTACAGATGTGAAAAGGATGAAATCACTACGGTACCAGGCGGGCGGTCGCGTTTGCGGAAAACGGCGGACATCCTGTGGATAAGAGAGAAAAACAACGACAACAACAACAACAACAATGGGGAAATTACGACGAAAAGTCTTATCTTGCCACTCATTATTTTTTCTACTTTTTTTATCGATACTACGACTCGTTTAGTTTTGGTTGATTCTTCGTTTTTTTGTCGCACGCGCGTGCCGAGTTGCTGTCCCGGACCCCATGGGGTGTGTATTTTATTTTTTTAATTTCCCGTGTTTACTTTGCACTGCCGCTGCAGCACGACGCACGCAACGGGGGGGACGGGGTGGGGGGCGGGCGAGATTTCTTACGAACAAAAAACGAGACGGAGAGAGCGGCGCGGCGGAATGCGACGGGCGGATTTTTGTTGTTGTCCGCGCCCGCGAGTCTACCGCATCGCCGTCCCGTGGGAACTAACAAAAAATATCTCGCCGCGCGTTCGCCGTGTGACCCAATTAGCGCCGTGTGCCAGCGCCGTGCCAGTGGTCGTGCCAGCTTTGTGTCAAGAGCGTTTGTGTGCCAGCGTCACGCTCCGTTTGCTTCCACCGTTAACGCTATACAGCGACCCCCCCCCGCCACGCGTCCGTAAGATGTTTCGGTCACCGTCGTTATTAATTCTTACGCGCACCTGAGACGCGGGGAGGCAGCAGGAGGGACACCTTGGATTAGAGAACGATAGGCGGGTTGTTAAAGATGGAAATTCCAAATGATTAAGCAAATGAACAAAACACTCAACACGTTTGTCAACAACACTGCCTGAAACAATTTAACTGTTTAGAGCGGTGTTTTTGCCAAATGTGTGTTGAGTTTGTCATTGGTTGCAGACCACTGCCCAATGCTCGTACACCACTGCCCAATGCAAGTATCAAAAATGTTTTTTTCTCTCAATTTTATTGTCAATAAATGTCAGTTGGGGGCTTTGGGCCTGGCAACGCGCCACGGCTCGAAGGGATGACGGCCGGCGGGTCTAGAAGAGTTGAAGGGAGGAGGCAGCCAGCGGAATCGACCGGAGGTTTGACGGTGCTGAAGGTTTGACTTGGGCCGACTCGCCATTTTTACGATGTTAATTGCGCGTCCTGGAATTTTTTTAAAAAATAATTTCTCCCCTTAAAACGATTCCGTCGAAAGTGACGCGGCCCAACTGCCGCCGGCGTCGGCGACTTGGCCTTTTTGCCGGTGAAGGCGTAGGGGTTGCCACCTGTCCCGTTTTTCCCAGGATCGTCCTCATGCCATTGGGAGAGGCATCTGCCATCCTGGGAAACCCGTGAGTCTTCCCGGGGACATTACAAAAAAGTTCCAGACTTTTGTCAGTCGTGTAATCACAACGGTGATGGTCATAGCACACGGACACATTTACATGTCGTCCTCACCTCTCCCCGCGCCGTGGGGTATTATTCTTGTTCTCGCCGTGATGCTGCCCGGTTTATATGGACCTCGCAGGTGGCGGCAACCCAGGGCGCGTGCGCGTGCCCATCCAGCAGCGGCAGCGATTGCGGTTGTGTCGCACAAAGGCGGCGTTGTCAAAACCCTCCTTCCGTACTCGACCGATACGAATTGCCACGCTGCCGAATCTGTAACCGCGCACCGATTTCCGTAGCAAAAAAAAAAAAAAACACAAATCGGTCGATGTTTCATTTTTAACGGAGCGGTACGCGCCACAGAGATGCCCTCCCCTCGAGTGGTGGGGGAGAGGCTGTGGTGCGAGCTGGGCCATTGCCTTTTACTCGCGCACCGATGATTAGGTCACAAAAAAACAAATGGTTACGTGGGAAATTTCGTTGGAGAATTGTGGCCACGCTAACCTAAAAACCCACCCCACGGACAATAAATAGCAAAGCAGTTTAACACTTAGGCTTTCGCGAACAATGTTATTCGTGAGTAAAAGAAATGTTGACTTAGATCGCGTAAATATTAATGTGTCGTTAACCCACCACCACTCGACACGGCCAAAGGTTTGTCACGTTTGCAAAACGTGCCAATTAGTTACTGCTTCAGCACACCGGTGTGTTGGTGAGTAAATCCACATGTTGCGTGACGAAGTAGTAACTAATGCGCACGTTTTGCTTACATGACAAACCTTACTAATGGGCTGCGTCGGGTGGGCTAACGACACATTTATATTTACGCGACCTAACCAAAACACAACCCTCATCATCATCGAGTAAACCACTGCCGTCCGCAACGCCCTCATCGCCGGAGGATAAGGAACAGCAAAGCGACACGAACGCCTCTCTCCCGAAGCCCCCTCGTCCATGGCCAGCAGCAGCAGAACCACCGCCAACATTGGCATTTAGCTCCTGCAGCAACATTGCTGCCGTGAATGAGCAAGAATGGTACCGTTGAAAAAGAAACGGCAGCCTTCCACCTGACGGACGCTCCCTTGAATCCGACCTGTATCTTTAATTTGTGCGTGTGTGTGTACGTGTGTGTGCGTGTGTATACGGGAGCGGTAGTGTAGTGGTTTAGCGCGCTTCGCTACGAATCCGGCGACCCAAGTTCGATTCCCGCTCACGGGCCTATCAACACTAGTCCTGGGCCTCCCCTAGGTCGACTCGGCCTAAACTGATTACCTGGTGCGCGGTGTAACCATCGCCACTGGGGAGACAAAGGAGGCCGGGCGTGGTGCTGGCCACCCACCCCCTCGTATGCTGTGCCGATCCTTCATAGGTGCTCGCTAACAGCACTTGCCCCAACAGTCTGTTAAGGCTATACGGTGTGGTGGGGGGAATCTTTGTCTTTATGCAGTACACAGTCCCTGGATGTCTGTGTTTGACCTGTTTGCTGCTTCAGTGACTAAAATGCGGGGTGACGATGGTGGATCGTGACAAAGATGTAAACGTTTGACTTGTAAATCCAAACGCAGCGTGGCCTGTATATATAGAGACAGAACACCTTGTCAGCAGAGTACGTGGTTATTGTCTGCATTTTAAAAGTGACCCAATTGTGCCACCTATGATTTGACCGTCGCAACTTAATTGGATCGTAGATATCAATGAGCCTGGATTGTGTGTGTGATTTGGCCGGGTGACCACGTGTGCATATAACAGGGTTGTTACAGGCTGTTGGTGTTACAGGCTGTTGGTGTTACAGGCTGCTAGTGTTACAGGCTGTTGGTGTTACAGGCTGCTGTTGGTGTTACAGGCTGCTGTTGCACAGCTACGTGTGTGGTCAGCAGAGAGGGCAGTGCAGAAACATCCATCGTTGCGCTGTATTTCTGCGCTTCAGCGTCCGTGCCCCCATCACCCCAGAGCGCCAGCACGGTGAAGTATGGTCAGGGAATAACTCCCACGGCGTGGCGGGGGGGGGCTTCTCGTCCAGCAGTTATTTAATTTATTTAATTTCACAAAAAATATCTCTTCTCACTCCAAAGCCAAGAGGATGAACGCTGCAAACAAAATACGGACGGGCCGGTGACATAAACAATTGCAGTTTAGGTTGTGTGGATGCCTAACTCAGTAAACATTGCCAACGTGAGCGCCTTGAGGTTCGCCCAAAGTTGGGCCAAAGCTGGCCTGTGGTTGGAACCGACGTCAGCCCAAAGTTGGCACGTTTACCGGTGTGGTTACCGACACGAAAGTCAAAACGGATCAAATCGTAAAAAGAAAAAAAATAGTTTTGTAAAATGTTAGCAATGCTCTCTCTCTCTCTCTCGACTAGTGTGTGCAATAAAAAGGACATGTTGTGAGTGAGTGAATGAGAAGATGCGGTTAGCGTGCGGACACGAGGAGCCGCTTGCGGTTTGGAGCTCTGCGTTCGAGGTTTGTACTTATAAAACATCCCAGTAAACGTGACAACGTTGTGGCACCGTTGGGCCAACGGTTCCAACCACATGGCCAACGTTGGGTCAACGTTGAGCCAACGGTTCCAACCACACGGCCAACGTTGGGTCATCGTTGGGCCAACGGTTACAACCACACGGCCAACCTTGGGTCAACGTTGGGCCAACGGTTCCAACCACACGGCCAACGTTGGGCCAACGTTGGGCCAACGTTGGGCCAACGGTTCCAACCACATGGCCAACGTTGGGTCAACGTTGGGCCAACGGTTCCAACCACACGGCCAACCTTGGGTCAACGTTGGGCCAACGGTTCCAACCACACGGCCAACGTGCCAATGTTGGGCCAACGGTTCCAACCACACGGCCAACGTTGGGCCAACGTTGGGCCAACGGTTCCAACCACACGGCCAACGTTGGGCCAACGTTGGGCCAACGGTTCCAGCCACACGGCCAACGTTGGGCCAACGTTGGGCCAACGGTTCCAACCACACGGCCAACGTTGGGCCAACGTTGGGCCAACGTTGGGCCAACGGTTCCAACCACACGGCCAACGTTGGGCCAACGGTTCCAGCCACACGGCCAACGTTGCACGTTTACGGGGATTCCACCCGCGGTTGGTGGGAGGTGGAAGCTGGCGAAGCTGGCGTCTTTACACCAGCGGCTTCGAGAATGTCGTCGACGGGTCGTACCGAGGCCTTGCCGGGCACGATGTCCGACGTTTCGCCCCCATGTGCCGGGAGCTTCCGCCGTTGCCTGGGAGCGAAAACGTGGGGCGTGAAGTGGGGGACCTCAATTCCCGACGACGCGACGCAGACTCCTCGGTTAGAGACAACGCGGGAGTGAATAATTTTATTCCGGTTTTACGTGCACGGTTTTAGTGGCGTGGGATTCGACAAAGTCGGTTTTACATTTTCTCGTCGAATAATTCCACGGTTGGGAGCGGTGGGGCAAGTGGTCGGCGCACTCGACTACGAGGCCGCCGCACCCCAAGTGACACTCCCGGCTAGGGCTGAACGATTTCGGGGAAAATATCTAATTGCGATTTTTATGACAGATATTGCGATTTGATTTGCGATTACGTTTTTTTTTTTAAAGCGAAGCTTCAGTTCAATATTCACTGTGTAATATATGTAAAACACGTGATGGAGCATTACCACTTGATACCATCAAAATATGAACTGCTCTATATATTCTAATGCAAGGATGGGAACTTTAAATATATGAATTGCTTCCAATATGTATTTATTAAAATGTTTTAATTGAAATAGAACAATCAAACATAGAACAATTGTTAAGTTAAATAAATAAAGTTATAATAATACAAAATAAAACAATTCCAATAAGAAAGCAATAGGAATTAAAGCTTTCGTGACTGCAGGAATTCGTATCCTTTGGGTCTTTCTGTAAAGTGACGTAGATAGGTTCAAAGAAAATACCAAAAAACTACGACGTTTCGATCACAACGCAAGCGATCGTCATCAGGATGACGCTTGTGTTGTGATCGAAACGTCGTAGATTTTGTTTATTTTCTTTGAACCTACCTACGTGACTTTACCGAAGGACCCAAAGAATATAAATAGGACTTTTAAAATAACAAAAAAATCGCAGCCTTTGCGATGTGCTCCTCGCATTGTTTCTAATTGCGATTTCGATTTGAAATCGATTAATCGTTCAGCCCTACTCCCGGCCACGGCTAACACCGGTGGCCTTTCAACGATAACCGAACCGGTGCTGTCCCCAGAGCGCTCTCTCCACCAAGCGCGCACTGCCCAGCTTGGCGAAGTGACGGCCAAAACAGCTCTCCGCATACGCGGCGCCGACAGGGAGAGAGAGACCTTCGTCCGGCAGTGAGATTTGCCCAAAGGTCCTGCACGCTTATTTGGTGCCGTTTGAGAACGGGGCGCTTTTGCGGCCACGAACGCCCTCTGCCGTGTGGGACAGCTGATCGCTAGAGAGCGCTTTCCTATAGTCGACGAATGAGCTGAGCTGGATGGGGAATGCGTGCATGCTGTATTATAATAATTATATTATTAATAATGGCCGGTTACATAAAAGCATTTGTCGGTGGAATTTCTGCTGCGTTTGTCATTTGCATCAACGCGAAGTTGGCGGGACGAGAGCGAATCGACGTGGCTACTGTTGGGCCTCCCGCAGAGAGAAGTTAGTCAACCCCAACACCTCCATGCGGCGTTTAGTTAAACCCGTGCTACAAAATTATTCACCCCCCATCTTTTAAGTGACTTGGCACAGCCCGTGAGGGACATTCATGCGTAAGACTTGGTACAGCCCTTGATGCCATATGCTTAGCCTGTGAGATGCTAAGTTCATCATCACTCCTCTAATGAGACTTGGCACTGCTATGTATTCCTCCGTAGACATACATATTTTATAGTCATCATTCTAACACAATTGGTACAACCCATTATATAAAAATTTAAATTGACGAAGTCTAGTTCATCCCCCTTCTCTGCAGATATTTGGTACAGCCCATAATAAGGCACCCCCTTTATCTGCAGTGCGTTTGTGGGAACTGTTACGTGGTTTTCGACCCCCCTTTTATAAAAAGAGACTTGGCACAGCCCATGAGACTGATATCCGTACCCGCGCCTGCTCTGCAGACTAGGTAGAGCCCGTAATGAGGGGATACGCGTGGGGGCTTTGAACTGGCTCTCAGTGCAGCACAGCAAGTGGGATTGGTGTTCGCGATGGAAATTTAAATAGCTTAATACTGGTAGGAAACGTAGTGGACTGGAAGCCCAACCGGGATTAATTCACAGGAGGCAGGGGATTAATTGTAGATGTCTGTGGATGTCTGTCCACGTGTATCCGGACACC